AAATTGTTTAAAATGGCTAGAGTTTAAAGGAAGCCGATCTAGTGGCTAGTGGCACTCTGCTTAAGTCTGAAATATTTTCATTACTAAGTTTTCTTTGAAAGATTCCGTGCGTTCTGAACCGTGCGCTCGGGGCCTGACTAAAATCTTAAAATAATAACAAGGACGGTACGAGTCAACCTTGGTACAAGCATGTCCTCGTGCCTTGTTTAAGACGCATTTTGCAAATAAAGTAGAATAGATTTCATCAAAATTTCCAATCTAATCGAAACTAATGATATACTTTATGGGAGTGTAAACTACTGATTGTTGCGAATGGAACAAAAAAACCAATGTGCTTAACATGTAATTAAAGTGTATTTTTAATGCAGAGAGAAAAAGAGATATTTCTTTCTTACATTTTAATACATTTTATATTATTTCAGGTAAATTGAGTATAAATTATGCAAGAAAGAAAGAAGTAATCAAAATGTCGTGGGACGTTTACACAAAATCTTTACTCGATTGTAATGAATTCAGATGAAGCGAAAGGCCGAGGGTGGAAAGACGGGAGGGGATGTGGAATATTGCACAATAATCCCTTAATGCTTCCTTATTCCCTTAAGAATATAAAACATTTCCTTGTGTCTGGGTATAGCAAAAGTAATTGAACTCGAATACACCAAGCTCGACACCACCTACCCCCTTCCCCTTTGGTCAAAGACGTGCAAATATATAAAAGCGTCTTCGTGGATTATAAATAAGGATTTTTTTTTTTTTTTTTTTTTTTTTTTTTTTTAAGAGTTGGGGGAAGATGTTTTTTTGTATGTACGTTTGTATACTTTTTGTGTATTCTAAAAATAGAATAATATATTTCAAGAGAACATAGGAAAAACCAGAGAATTCAACCAATGTATTCACTTTATATGTATCAGTTTTATATATATATATATATATATATATATATATGATTAAAAAAGCATTTCTTCCTGCAGTGGATTATATAGAAGAATACTTAGTTGCATATACTTATGGGCAGATGTTAAAGTGGTATGAGTATATAATTTCGGTTATTGGCATTGTGTGCTCTTTACATACATATAAATATACGAGAGCAACAGCCTTACTTATTAATATAAAGGACATCATATACTAGATAGAGCTACCATTTTGAAAATTGGAAATCGAGGGGATAAGGTGATGAGTGTATGTATGTGTATGTGCGTATGAGTGTAATGCTCTGCGGCACAACCTGTAGCTCCTTTTAGTCTATTTTTACAGTTAATTTTTTTTTTTTTTTTGAAGGACTTTTAATGAGTGAGCGCGTAAATAGCAAGGAAGAGAGCGCACACGATGCTTTGATTTTTAAAGAGAAAAATAAGTGAAAAACATAGGAAGGAAAGCAGGTTTCCATTTTGGGTAAGGGGTGTCTTTTTTTTTTTTTTTTTTTTTTTAAGAACCTGCATGCGCAAAGAGAAAATTAATTATCTCATCTCTTCAAAAATATATTCGCAATAAGTGGATACATATATTTTTCATCAATTTATTTTGGTCTGATTTTTGAGCATCATCATGTCGAGCTGTTGTGTTGTGTGCATTCAACAGTTCGGCTATATAGTTGTAAATTTTTTTTTAATATTATTCTTACTTTCTATTCCTTATTATGTTTTGAACGAGCAGGTTTTATACGGAAATAAAAATAGCTTTCCTTCAAAAACGAGGGTGGTTCTACTTTAATTTTATTGCTTTTTAGTTGTTGTATCTCACTCACTCTCTCTCTCTCTCTCTCTCTCTATATATATAGACGTGTATACAGAAACGTTTATATGATTTCGTTAGGTATGCAACATAGCTAACAGCTATGTGTGTTTATTCGCGTCTGCTTGCAATTACATATAAATAAATAAATTTGTTCTGTTGCTTCCTCGTTATGTCTCCGCCAGTAAATTTATATAAAACTTTATTGATTTTTATACATATGTAACTTTTTCACTTGCCGCTGTACAAGTTAAATCTTTCTCTGAACACTCTTTACTACTGTCTCTTCATAAATCTTCGTTTTAATGAAGATGCATACTTTACTGTTGCTACTGTTGCTGTTGTTAGTGGACGGAAATATATTGCGTTGTTAGATATTTCGAGGCAGGTAAAGTTAACAATTCTTTATTATATATATCAAAGGAATAAAAATGAAGCCTTGCAAAGTTGCAGTAAAAATTAGCGCCATGCGGATGACTGACTGATGATGGAAGAGGATAAAAGGAGTCGAAAATGGTCTGCGAAAGATTTTGATCGTCAAAATGGTTGCTAATAAGCCAACTACTATTATAACTGTTAATTGCATTATGATATTATTCGGCTCTGACTGGAGTTTGATGGCTACAAATATTGAAGAATTGAAGGTTTCTTGCTGATAAGTAAAACACAATATTATTATGAATTTAAGAATTTTTCCTGAATGCAATGATAATCCTCGGGAATACACATCAAAAGCCTAAGAAATCATATTCAACAGATTCTAAGTGGATGCAAAAATTTCCAAAAAATGTTGCCTTAATTAATTATCAGAAGCAGTTTCAAAATCTACACAGCACTGATCCCGATCGGCCGTCATCTGGCACGCTTTCAATTAACATTTTTACATGCTTACGGATTGTTTGTAGATATTGCCTTGAATTAGAATTTTGCTTTTTCGGAAGCCTCAAGTATATGTATGTACATATATATATATTGTCGTGTGTCTTTCTTGTTTATTTGCTGGCTACTAGTTTTTTATTAGAAAAATCTTCGTCAATGTTTAAGAGAAGGAGAGCTTACAGCTATTATGTTTGTTAACTAGATTAACCCCTTGGGAACTTAAATTTTCTTAACTATGTAAGTTTTTAGGCAAATGATTAGAAAAGTCAAATGAGAATATAATTATTCGTATCCATTATTGCAAACCTGGTTTTTAACTCGACTTCTATTTGTCTTCGGAAGATGTTTATATATTAGGTTCTAAGTCGAAATCCTTTGTTGACGAAGTTACAGTTCTTTCTATTGTTTTGGCTAAATATTCCCACCATGCCTTAAAGCTGCCGATTGCCTCCGAATATGTTTATACTAAGCCTTAAAGCAATGCGTACGACGAGTTGGGAATTTTTCGACTCATTGTGGATGCGATGTATAAACGTGAAATTAATTTACAATTTTTTAGAAGTTTAAAAGAAGAAGTAGACTACAAAATCTTTCCAATATTCGAACTCATTTTCGGAGCATCCAACTCTATGGACATATTAAATATAAGTAAAATATTCAACTTTATTAAAGCGCTGGGCAAACCTCTTAAGCTACTCTTTAAAAATATATAGAGGCAACAATTTTAGATTGCTATTGCTCATCCTATTACTTTTACTTCTAGAATTTATTTCTCTAGTATAATAATAGGAATATATCGATTTAAATAATACAGTAGTTTTTTGGGCAAGGCCGATCCTTAAAGATCCTTCATCACTGCGCCTAATATAATTCCTCTTCTTCCTAATCTATTGGAAATTATATTTTGTTCTCCCATGTAACGGTTGACTTGTCATAAGAACCCTTCCATGAATCAATATACTTTAAATTTTGTTAATTAAGTTAATTTTGTTGTTACCTCTTTTGATTATAAATGCTCTATACCCGAAAAATCGACTAATGCAGTTCAAGTATAAAAATGTGCAATGATGCAAATAAAAAGCGACTTCTTTAAAGTAACACGGTATATGGAAAGCGATTGTCCAGTCTATTTTTATAATTGGGTCAAAACATGTCAATATAACAGCATTCATCAAAATAACTTGAAAATTAGGAACTACAGTTGAGCATAACGGTTAGTAGACAGATATATTAAGCAGACAGATGGATGTGCATGGCTAAATTGATTTAGAAAATGATTCTAAACTGATGGGTATAATAATAGATGGTCTCCATTTCAAGTACTTTTGAATTTCTACACACATTCGCAGAAATGTAATACACACACCTTACCAGATGGTTGTGTAGGACCTGATGAAAACGTATAGCTTCCTTTTTAAAATTTTTTTTTTTTTTTTTTTTTGCTACAATTCGTTGTATACCAAAGGGTTAAAGTAGAATAAAAGTTTTATTTATCCTGATTGCAATTTCAGCTCAAATTGATGTTTGTACATATGTACGTCGCTTTGGTTTTTGTGTATTTGCATTCACTGTTCAAGTAGTTGGCTCTTGTCGTCATCATCATAATCATCTTTATAACCCCTTCTTCTTCTCTTCGTTACATTTTGTCTTTTTTAGTTGAGTTCAATTCGGCCAAACAGTGTTGCATTTTGCATAACTGAGTTATATCCATGTGTAAGAGAGTGAATACCTACACTCTGCTTATACGTATGTATGTATGTATGCATGTATGTATATGTGTAAGCGCAAATCGACATAAACCTAGGCAGAGAGATGTGAATGCGTACATACATACATACCTATATGTTGATATTTTACACTATTTCCTATA